AAATCTTGCAAGATTTAAAGCATTGTTAATTATTTTAGTCAGTGAAAAGTATATGTTAGTTAGTTGTTATGACTGCTTTCTCTGTTAGAGAATTCTTACTTTAGGAAATATTGAGACTGTAATTTGTATTCCCATAACTACACCCAATGAATTTTGTTTCTTTCACAGAGCTCCCTTTATATTTCATAAAGGAGTTGCAAAATATGAATGCTGAAGTGGGAGGGATTATCTCGTTGTGCTGTGAACTCTCCAGACCTGGGGTTTCAGTGGTTTGGAAGAAAAACAGGCTGCCCCTGAGAGCAAGCAGGAAGCATGAGATAAAACAAGATGGTCATCTCTATCAGCTTAACATCAAAGACCTCAAACCTGAGGACAGTGGCAGCTACACCTGCCAAGCAGGGAGTGCAGAAAGTATTGCAAATGTGGCGGTTCAAGGTAGGGTTTATTGGTTTAAACATTGGGCATTTATGCAGTTGATAAGACATTCTTAACGTTTTGCTGTTGGTTACAAAGACCTTCACTCAGATCTATTTCTTTCAAACTTAATAGTGTTACTCTGAGAAAATGTTGGATTTACCTTTTTACCAGATAAATATAAAGAAAATTGGATATAATAATGACTTAGCAAGCTAAAAAAAAATAAACCTTTCAAAGGAATATTATTTTCAAACACAAATAAATAGTTTGGGATATACAGAGTAGAGCCCCCCTTTTAGAAATATTATTAAATGATGATAAGAATATCATAGGTAGAAATTCTGGAGAATTATTACTGGTTATGCAAGCTGTACTGTAGGATGTTATTTATCTGCATTTTAGGACTTATAACACTAAAGGCACATACTGCCAAAAATATATGTGAAAGATTTAATGATGGCAGCACTCAATATCATCCAACACGATGAAAATGCTGTCTATTATGATGAAGATTAACTGACCACAGTATGTTGAATGCTTGAATAGAAGATACTTCATCTGCTTTCTTATAAATGTGGCTATTTCTTATCTAACCACTTAGGGAACTTTGAGCATAACATTTTATTCCTAGGCAGTCATTACATTCTTAGATATGAAAGAGAACTATGAGGAGACAGTGATGCCAAAAGAAAACTGAACATTACAAATTGCTTTAAAGTACATTGTGCATGCTGTAAAGATGTGGGAAATCATGACATTTTATAGAATTTTCCTCATTCCTTTATGTTCACCTCCCAAAAGCTTGATAACTTTAGTTTAACTTAATGAACTGTTACTGCTAACAAGTATTTTAAAAAGTATGTGTGTCTGAATTTTAGAGAGATGTGATAGCAAATACTGAACACAAGAAAGATAAAGCTTAGAAAATACACTAGCCTCTTTATTTGACACTGTATATTGATTATTCCCATCTGATTTTGTTCCATTTAGAGTGCGCTATATTGTTCATCAAAGAATTACAAAGTTTGGAGGCTGAGTCTGGCAGTACAGCCTCTTTGTCCTGTGAGTTATCAAGACCTGCAGTGTCTGTGCAGTGGAAGAAGGATGCTTTGTCTCTGAGACCCAGTGAGAAGTATGAGATGAAAAAGGATGGATGCTTTCTGCAGCTTAACATCAACAGGCTTAATTCAGAGGACAGGGGTAGATACTCTTGTCATGCCGGGGATATAGAAACCTCTGCAACATTACAAATAAAAGGTCTGTACATCTTTATTTTTAACTTACCTTTATCAGATGATTATTTTATTGATGATACTATTCTTCCTTTTGTAAAGCACCACAACTTGATGTACTTGAGGCTAAATCTATAACAGCACCAGAGCACGTGAGAGGCACCGTGTCTAAACCAGCACCTGCTTCAGAGAATATAAGGCCAAATGTTACACAGAACAACCCAGTTCCCCCAGAGCCCAAAAAGAGAACTAATAGGAAATCATCTATTACTACCTTAGAAAAAGACAGCGAGGAATCTTTTGGCCTAAAGGTGCCTGTGCAGAATGTCAACAATGAAGTCCAAAAGGATATCCAACATGTGAGAGCTATAGAAAAACACTTTGATGTTGCCCAGGATGGAACAAACATGGAGAGGAATGAAGAGAAAGGGAGGGAGGTTCACAAGCAAGAGATTAAGCCGGTTCAACTGCCAGGGAGGGATTACAAGGTTGACAGGAGAGTTGAAGAAGCTTCACCTTTGGGTACAGAAAAAGATCGAATGGAAAAAACCCAACTAGAAGGGAATGTGGGAAAAGTTATTCAAGTCGGTCCTCAAGTAGATCAGTCAGAAAGGCTTGTGGACAATAAAGCTGGTGAACTGAAAGAGACTGAAAAGGGATGTGAAGTTAAAAAGGAGTTTAAACAAGTAAAATCATCAGATGAATCAAATGAAGCCAAGCATAAGCATAAGATAACACAGCAAGCAACAACGATTTGGCGAAACAGTGAAGGTGAAAAACATGTAGAAGAGAAGCTTAAAGGGAGCGAAACAACTAACAGCGATGTTAGGCTATCAGATAACAAAGGTGTAAGAGAAGAGGAGCCTTCAAAGCCTCCAGTACGATCTAAGCCAAAGGTAGCAACTGGAGAGCAACCAATCAAGTCTATTACCAAAAGAACAGAGGGCACAATTCCTCAGCTAAGCAAGACTGCTTCAAAAGATATCGAAGACCATAAAGAGATGAGAGAAAATGGGCAAATGTTTGCAGAGGATGTATTTACACAAGCACGCACAATAAACCAGCTTGAGAAACACTCAGTAGAAGAACCAAAAAAGGTGGATGCAGTAACTCCTCAGTATACCGCTCCAAAACCCCCTGAGAGGAGAAAGAGCAAAGCAAAAATAGAAATGGAAAAACAAATTTCAAGGGATATAGAGACAGATCAGGATTATACACAGCCTAAAAGTATAGCAGGAAGGTCAACGCAAGAGCAGCCAAAAACTCAGCCAAAACCGCTGATGGAAAAAGATTTTAAAGAGACTTCAAGATTGGACAGAAACAAGTCTGACACGGCTGATAGGGAAATAGTTGATAAATTCAAGCAACCAATAACCCAACCAGTAAAACCAATCAAGAAAGAGCCTGATTCAGTTATAGAAATGAAACAAGCTGTTGAGCCAATGAGAAGAGAGGAGGAAACACAACCTGCATTAACAGAAGCAGACATTCCTCTGCTCTACATTTCGGAGGAAGAAACATTTTCAGAGGCCTTAAGTGAGCTTCCTCCTTCCCACCTCCGACCTGCTGTGCCTCATACACAAACTGCCCAGCTTCCTATTCAAGGCATAGAGCCGCTAGAACCTTCTCTCATGGAGCTGGACATCAACATGGAGGATGAACCCCAGATGCAAGAAGCTGCCGTTAAAATTCAAGCAGTATTCAAAGGCTACAAAGCTCGGAAAGAAATGCGACCAGTCTTCAAGGAGGTGTTCAAGAACCAGAAGGCAGATCTTCATGGCACGCTCTCATTAAAATGTGTCATTGATGGAAAACCCAGTACTGTGCGCTGGCTGAAAAACGGCCAACAACTTATAAATGATCCTCGATGCCAGATTAAAACCACTGAAAATGGAGAATGCACTCTTGTGGTTAAAAACTTAAATGACAGCGACAGTGGAGTTTATACCTGTGAGGCGGTGAATAAGTTTGGGACAACCTCCTATAATGGAAATATAACTATAGTGAAGACTCTACAACCTGTTCCCACTGCCCAGAAGCCTATACACGCACCACTTGCAGCCATATCTCCTTTGCAGCTTGCTCCACAAAGGCCTGAAGCCCAGGATATGACACAAAGACAAACACCAACAGCTGCACCTGCAGACACTGACAATTATGTAGAAAGTGTAAGTGTCTCTATGTGGGATGCCTACATCCTGACAGAACAGGACAATCAGAGACGCCTGCAGGAGAGAAGAAGATCCTCACTCATTGCAGTTAGCTCCTGTAAGTAACACAATTGTATTTAGCTTTAAGCACCAACCAGGGGTAATGCTAAATATGTTTCCCTATTTTTACGTTAAACAGTGTCAAGTCCATCAGAGTATGACACTGCTCCAGATGTAATAGAACCTATTGAGACTGCTCCAGTAACACAGTGGTAATGTTCCTCACAATAACCCTAGTTTTATTGCTCATATAGAACATTGTGTTCTTGAACCTACTATTTATTAAATATTTGAACAGGGCAGTGATAAAAGCAGCTGACACCAAACTGCCAACGGATAACAAAGAAGAAACAGTTGCTCTGAAACTTCCTAAGAAAATGTTGGTTGTTAAAGGTCAGTGCATTTTATTGTTGTGTCAGTACATCTGTTTTTATTTGTTGGAAAACTTTTTTCAAAATCCTTTTTATTTATAAATGTACAGAAAATAAATCAAATGGGGAAAAAAGAACAAAGTCAAATACGTGAGAAGACACATTAAAAAATAGGAAACATCTAAGAAAACTATAATATAATAGCCATTGGTAATAGTAATAGTTTTTATTTTATGTTTGAGACATGGAGTTTAGGATTTTGAATTAAGGATATCAAATACTGGCTTTAATTTTCATATAGTATAACATTTTAAAATGGATTACAATATGACTTGGAGTGATTTTTGTTTGTGTATGACTGAAATTGGCTAAAATCAGACTCTTATTTGATTGGATTATATTTAACCTCCATTTAGGCATATTTCAACATATGTTTTATACACTAATATTGTAAATAGTTCTCTTTATAAGATGTATATTAATACTTGCATTTACACCCATAGGAAGGTGATGTATCGAATAATTTAATCCCACACAGCTATTATTACTTTTGGAGCATAAACTCTCTATCATGTTGTGTTCCAAGAGACACTGCAGTTTTGAGCTCTGTTCAGGCAGAAATGTTTTCATCTTTAGAAACCTAATTGGTTAATGATCCCCTTAGGTTTTCATTTTGGCCTGCAAGTAGTCTACAAATGCTTCCTTAATTTTGTCTAATTTCACACAACTAAGCTGTAGCTATGTTAAGGGTTTTTTTGGGTGCATTTTACTAATGATTTATTCACATAAGCTTTTATGATTTTTTTATTCATTCAACATGCGCTCAACATAAGTAATTATTTCCCAGCATGCCCACTAGATGTCACGAATGAGTCCAAACTCTAAAAACAGATGTATGTATAAAAATGGCTTATGACACGTTTTTGTTCAAATGCATCCTTTGCAAATGGGGCTCCTGGTTATTTAAACATGTACATTTAAGTCTATATATAAAGAAGGAAATTAAGTATTGTAATTTCTTTATATTTTACATTATTCTTTTTCTACAGTTATATTTTTTTCTTAAATTAAAATTAATTATGTTCCCCTCTGTTCTTATTTAAAGGTGCTCATGATAATAAACTAAGAACACCATCTCCAAAGCACCATCGCTCCCACACACCTTTAACTAGTACAGGGTCCAGATCTGAGTCAGACGGTGAAGAGTGCAGACAAGAGGTACATTTCAAATGATCGTATTAGAATCAAATGTGACCTAATTAGGTCACAATCTGATCATCGAAAGGATTTAAACAGAAAGTCTGACTTGTTGAATGCTCTTCTACAGACTTTTGAAATATATGTGGCTCGAGCCGACTGCAGTCCTAATGCTGGAAGTAAGGACAGCTTTATTCTGAAGGAGGGACAATTTGTGGAGGTTCTAGACTCTGTTCATCCTGACAGGTGGTTGGTGAAAACCAAACCAACCAAAACCAACCCTTCTCGCCAAGGATGGCTCTGTCCTGCCTATTTGGAAAAGAAGAGAAAAGTATGTTGTCAAATACTGTTGGTTAATGTTAAGTAATATGCAAAATTGAAATCAAATATATAATATAACATTTTAATTTGTATCTTTTTAACATAAAGTCAGGCTAAACCATTCCTATTTTACATCAGTTGGATTGTTACATTGGACAGAGATATTTTTTATGTTTATGAGTTTTTTTCAAAGCCATGAGACTTAATACATTTCCATATTAATTGTTCTAATTGCCCTTCCCTTTTCGGAGTTATTTGATATTTAGAAGAACTGGTAAAACTAAGTCAGGTTTGTAACCCACAATGGGGCTGCTGGCATGCATATTTTAAGATGCCCACATAATAAAGGACTTAAAAAATAATAACCTTGTTAATACAGCACTCACTAAATTGCAGTGCTTGAGGTCATTAAGAGTTTGCAAGAACCAAGTTTTAACATGTTTGAGGTGTGCCCCTGTTTTCTCAAATTTTTTTAACCAGAATCTCCCCTAGATATGTCATTATTTTGAGAAAACTTTGCCATATTACACAAATACGTCTTAATGTGCCAACATATGCTTGTAAACATTAGTATTCAAAGACATCTCTCATAAAGTTTCAGTTGTACTTAAACACAGTAAAATATTCTCCGGTTTTGTTACACCGTCAGCAGAGATATGAAAGAGATTTGTGATAAAAGCTTAACTCTAATTTCCAACAGGAAATTTTCCCACAAAGTAGATTTGTTCAAGAGGGTCTTGATGGAATTGGGTCAACAGAAGAAGAGTACAGAAGAGCACTGAGGTCGGCTTGTTTTTCATAACACATCTGTAGTGTGAACTTTGTAATCACAGTTACTAGATTTAAATGAGTCTTTTATGAACTGTGGGAATTGATACTAATCAGCTTATATTTCCTGATACCTTCAGTCAGCTGATCCAAGGCTTGATTGATGGAGAAGAGGAGTTTGTAAAGGCAATGAAGATGTTCATCTCTCACCATCTTAATCAGCTGGACAGCAGCCACAATGTTCCCATCAATATTCTCAACCAGAAAGAGATCATCTTCAGGAACATCAAAGATATTGTTGGTTTACATGAACGGTAATAAACCCAATTCCCCAAACTTGATCAAATTATTGTTGGGCTATTTTGAAAGATGTAGTCCTCAGTAATCCATTCATTCTCAGTTTGATCCTCCCTGGTCTGAGAGAGTGTTTAACGGATGATGACGTTGCCATGTACCTAATCAAGCATGCCGAGCAATTTGAGAAGTATCTTCACTACATGGTGGGACAAGCACAAGCAGAGGCCTGCATCAGCGACAAGGCTGTTCAGCAATACTTTAAAGTAATTCAAATCACTTCATTATTGTACGCTTCATTTTAAATATGCAAAGGTAAAAATGTAGAAAGGGATATTTAGTGCAGATGCACTGATTTTTATTTCTTTCTAATATCTTTTCAGGAGGTAACGGCACATGAGAAGCCTTGTGACACCCCAGTCATGGATGTCCTCACTTTCCTGCAGCAACCAATAGAAAGAATTCAAACCTACCAGAGTTTACTGAAGGTCAGAAGAAGTATTTAATCTTCATAAGGGATTTTCAAGAGTGCAAAAACATTGGCATCCATCCATCCATCCCTCCATCCATCCATCCATCCATCCCTCCATCCATCCCTCCATCCATCCATCCATCCATCCATCCATCCATCCATCCATCCATCCATCCATCTGCTCTAAATAAGGAGCAAAACACTGGAAAAATAAATGGGGAAGCATATTACTTTTAATGGGACTTTTAGGAATCTTAAAAATACAACTTCTACTATTCATAGTTTTGATTTCAAACACTTCATACAATGATTTTATTGCCAGGAGTTAATCAAGAACAAAGCTAGAAGTGGTCAGGGCTGTTACCTGTTAGAAGATGCCTTCTCTGTGGTGTCCTGCTTGCCCTGGAGGTCAGACAATCTGCACCGGGTGTCCCTGATTGAGAACTATCCAGCTCCTCTTACAGCTCTGGGTGAGCCTGTGCGACAGGTAAGGAGGAAATGCTTTTATTCTGTGATTTTTATATTTTTATTTTGGCTTATTTTGACTTTTGGTGATACAAATACTTTTTTCAAGATTTCCTTGAAGAACACAAATTACATTTTCCTATGCTTAAGTAAAGCAACATTTTTAAATAAAAACTTTGTATGCCATGCTCTCATAATATATCTTTGTCTTAAAGAGTTTAGTTCTTAAAATATTAAAACATTCGGTGCAATTTGTCTCTTCAGGGAGTATTAACAGTGTGGGAGGACTCTCCAGAAATAAAAACAACCTCCAGAGGTCATCAGAGACAAGTGTTTCTCTTTAAGGAGTGCATAGTACTGTGTAAGGTGAAGAAAGATGGCAGCATGAATCATGACACATACAGCTTTAAGAACAAAATGAAGGTAACTAAGTCATCCAGGTTCCAATAAAGTAGTGCGTCCTTCATGATAAATTAAATATTTGCCCTATAGTGTAAATGTTCTTGCTTAATTTGATATTTTTTTTATTCTACCACTTGTTCAGCTGAATGATGTGGAAATAAAGGAAAGTGTTGGTGGAGAGGACAAGTCATGGAGCTTGTGGCATGAACACAGAGGCTCTATAAGGCGTTACACTTTACAGAGCAACTCTGCACTGGTTAAAGTGTCCTGGCTGAAAGACCTGAAGGAGCTGCAGGAACGCTCCAGCCTCAGTAATAACTGTAGGTTTCTTCAGACACATTAACAAGCTGCCAAATAAGAATTTCTCCTGGTATTTAAGTTTGCATCTATCCACAGGTCCTCCAGTGTTTGAATCAATGCTTTCTGACTGCTCAGCACAAATTGGACAGACAATCAAACTGACTTGCAGAGTGTTTGGATTTCCAAAACCCACAGTGAGCTGGATCAAAGGTTTGTTTTTGTTGGCTCTTCTTCATTTTTCATGTAAGCTCTTTTTTGAGTAACATTACATTTTCAAACAATATTAATTTTTTTAATTCTGTAAATTTATATTCCTTCATCCCAGATGGGCTTCCCTTAGAGGATGACCCACGTCACATCATCGTGGCTGACCGCTCAGGAGCATGCAGTCTCGTCCTGGACTGCCTCACAGCAGAGGACTCTGGTCAGTACATGTGTCATGCAACCAGCTCTATGGGCAGTGCTGGCACTCTGGCAAAGGTGGTGGTGCACGGTGAGTAATGGGGGCTTATGATTTAAAACAGATGCAGAAAAAGACAGCAAATTCAACCAGGTTTTACGGAAGTTTTTCTGTTGATTATTTAGCTTTTACTTAAAGCCGCCCTTTTCCTATTTTGTCCAATCAAGCTACAAACATTTTTTGTAATGATTCAATAAAATAATTCAATAAAATAAGCCAAATCACTGTCTGTAAAGAGGGAGGGAAATTATATGCTTGTAGTTTGTACAGAAAAAAAAACAACATTTGACATAGGCTATACAACGTCTTACACATCTCTTAAGATGGCAACTCTGGGGGGGGCTGCAGAGATATACAGTTAGCTTGAATCATCTGTTGATTGAGCACCTATTAGTCGAGTTATATACAAATTTGACATTAAAGATAAATTGGTGTTTATCTCCAGTTTTTTAATTAGAATTTTATAATTTTTGCATTGTTGTGCAACTATGAATTCTTTAAATGCCCCGCCCTGTAGTGGTGGTAAACATATTCTTTAATAAAACAATATTCGGACTTTCATATATGGTTTGCAAACACAAATTGTGATAAATAATAACTGTAAATAATGTGAAAATAAAGCTTAAATAATGGTTAAATGGATAACTCTGCACATATATGAAATAAATTCACTACAACTTCAATTAAAAAAGTCAGTTTATTAAAAAA